TTGTACGTTTAGTGTATGTAAGTTTTTAATATCATTGTATTATTATTATTTTTCTTTTTTCAAAAAGATTTAAAAATGGCTAAAATTACCTAATTTGAGTACGCTGAATCTAATGGTGTTAATCGTTTTTTTAGGTTAGCTCTTGTTTTAGAGATATTTTAGATACAAATTGTAGACCCAAGCATCACAATAAACCATTATTTTTCTATTTTTAAATCATTTATTAAATTTAAATTTATGAAAACAAATATATATATATACAGGGTTTCACATACGTGGTTGGGTTGGGTTGTCCATTAGAAGTTTCTGGAGAACGTATATTTTTCTAAAATATTTTAAACAAAATGCTACTTCCGGTTTATCCGGAAGTGACATCAACTTTGTTATTTTAAATAAAACATCCCATATATTTTTACATTTTTAAATTCTACATAAAATTCTGATTAAAACTACTATACCATGTCCTATACCTAAAGTGAATAGTTTAAGGGTTATTAATTTTTTTTTTTTGGTTAAAATTTGACAAATGCGCGTCAATCAAAAATAGCCTATAACTTTTTTTTTTATTAGGGTTGCGAATGTAAGGTTGGAATTTTTGAAATCTTAAAACATTGTTTAGAAGATTCCATGTCAATTCTTTAACATTTTTTAAACCCAGAGCAAATTAGGCTAGCTAAATTTAACAACCAGTATGTTTTTACCTAATGAAATAGTAAATTAAAAAACCTTTCGAAAAACATAAGAAACGCGACTTGGCAATCAGGGGCGTATTTCAAACATTTTAGTACGTTTAATACTGTATTTTATGAAAATTATATTTTTTGAGAAGAAAATCATAAAAAAACACTTTAAAATCGACCAAATTATTTTTTTCAACAGTTTCTTTTCAATATGTATCTGTCTATACAATTTATAATCAGTAAATGGTTTCAAAATAAGAAAATAATGTTTTTTTGTGATGCTTGGATCTACAATTTAAATCTAAAATATCTCGGAAACAAGAGCTAACCTAAAAAAGGGACTAGTACCATTGGATTAAGCGTATTCAAATTAGGTAATCCCCCTGGGTGCCCTGCTAGTTAGAAAAAAAAAGTTTCCGATTCGAGCACAGTGTTATTAGTCCATTTTTTGTTTTATGACCAATACGAAATTTCTGGGATCGTCCACTTAAGTTTAATGGAGAAGTGGTTAAGACTTATGACATCGTGGGCTATAATAATAGGTGCCTATGATGTAAATATTAACGACCGTTGAGAGCGATTTTTGCTAATTATCGTTAGTTAGTAGTGGTACCTTAAATGAGGAGCGTTTATTCAAAAAGGGACATGTCCATTTTAGCGATTTGCAGAAACAAGTCAAAAATAACAGAATTCTTTTGCTTTAATCGCTAAAATGGACATGTCCCTTTTTGAATAAACGCTCCTCAAATATGAATATAATGTAACTTGTTTACTTTGTAGTAGGTAATATCTTTAATGACTCAAAGTGACCGAGTTACATCATAGCCCTAAATGTTATTATGTTTGCAAAAACTGACGAATGTGGATGATACTAAATTATGATTTTCGGCTAATATTATTTTATTTAATTTTTGAATGCCTAAAAGGCCTTTTTTTAATTAGGATTTTTTTTATAATAATTTTTTCAAACAAAAAAATTCTTAGTTAAATTAATGACTATTAGCAATAAAAAGTTTTATTGAAAACCCAACCAGCAGCACGACTGTGCTTCCCGCGCTTCAGCCTTTCCTACCGTACGTACCAACACAACCAACAATTCAAACACGTCCATGCAAGTTCAAAACGAACCGAGATGCGTGCCCGCAACACGTGGTTAGCGCAAGCAATCCAGCCTAACCTCAACAGCGACGCGCACGCCACCTAACGACAATCACAAAAGTCCCTGACGCTTTCCCGCCCAGCACGATATACCATGCACGTTCCATAAATACCAGAAACCCAAGTCAAAATAGAAAATCCACCTTTAAATCCTATTCTAGGACGGTAAATATTGTTTAAATGCTTGAGAAATTGTATGCATAGCTTAAGTTGCATTTTTTTTATGTAATTAATGTCGAAATATTTCTAGTTTTTTTATGATAAAGTCATTTTTTTCATTATTTTCAGAAATATAGCTCTATCTATGTGTTTCATGTCTATGGTTCTCGTATATATCGTCTACACGAGCTGAGCAGGCTTATCTGACTATGCGAGAGCAGGTCGTGGCGTGCCTTGGCGCAAACATCAACACGTGTTATCCCCATCTCTCTCCTACGCGGAGTTGTCTCTTTCTAACCAATGGAGTGTGTACTGTGGGAATTTCGGCAGCTGCACTTCGCTTCAGATCGCAGCAATCGGTGATTCATGCATTCATGCATCCTTCTGTCTTTATCTCGTCATCCTTGCATTGCGTCTTTTTGGATTGTCTTTTTTTACGATGAAAAAGTTGGCTTCTTAAATTGGTATTAAAGAGTTAAAGATTGACTATGTTAAAACCGTTAATTGAATAAATCATATTTTGCTCTTTTTATATCTCCAAAAATATGGTTTATTGTTTTAAGCTTTCCTTCTCAAATAATCAAAATTAAAGTGTTAGTTGAGCCTACTAAACTTAAAGCAGTAAAACATCATTTAATGTTTCAATTACATCATACAATACTTACCATCAAATTAAATATTTCTATCGATATCACTTCGTTTCCAAATCAGATTATAATCCAATCACTTAAACAGATTTATTGCCCATAAGTTTGACACCCTAAATTAAATTAAGTTACAACAAATCCCTTCAATTCAATATAACAGCAATTACACCCATTGTACTTATCCCCCTAATTGATTTAACCCCCCAAAAGTTCACACTGTTTAAATCACAGTACATAGGGGGAGAACCCCTCTTTAAAAAAGCGACAAGTGCAATGTGAAGTGTCCAAAGTAAATACACTTGTTACAATAACTATTCCTAGTAATTGGAAGATGATAATTTTTTTCTAGCTTTACAAAGTTTTATAATTATTTTCAAAATGGGAAGTGTCCAAATTAAATACACATTTTATTATAACTCTTCGTATACATTAGTAATTATGTTTCATTTTCCTAGCACTTAATAATAGATGTATAGTTATTACCAGGATTAGTCGTATAATGTTTGTCCTTTATTAGGATTTAGAGTGTCCAAAAATAAATATACTGGTTCCTTTAACTGTTCCTAGTAATAGAAAGATGTTTCATTTTTCCTGTTAATAATTTTTAAGATTCCGCCACAATATTTATCAGCTATTAGCAGATAAAAACAGACCCTTGTCATAAATTTTGGCACAATAGTGAACCTGTTCGGCTTTAGGAATATTAATCAGTATCCCGACGGTCTGGCATCACGTTTAAAAATAATATTTTCATAATTTTATAACCCCCCACAGGTTGATCTTTATTGTCCCTAGTTTTTCAGGTGGACAGGTACTTTTGTTCCCCCTTGGCCAACAGGTACATGGTTTTTATTTTAGGACGGTTATATTTTTAAAACCTGTAGGATGAAAATCCGTGTTCCCACAGTTTGTATGGGTTTATTTTTGGATTTTGAGGGGTGGAGATTTTTTTAGGCAACGTGATGTTATACAATGTGCTATGCAGGTGGATTTTACACAATGAAAATAGAGACATGATAATTTTTCACGGAATTAAGTCTAAGGATATAAATGTTATTAAATAACTATAAATTCATTGGTTTATACTTTTCTTTACATATAATAAAATGGAATTATTCTATAATAATAAGTTCTTGGAGTACAATTTAAATAGAATCTAGTAATAGATAATCATTAATAAAGTTATTGTATCGAAAAATCAAAAGCATATAGGTATAAATTAAACCAGTAATGCATTGATGGCACCATGGTAACACTATTTAATCATCATCAAATGTCCGTCTACCTGACTATCTTTTTTAGTGCAACAAAGACTTAATCAACATAAAGCAAAATCGTAATTTTTCAAATCCGTCAAGCATCAAAATGATGATTAAAAATTGAAGAATGCCCAAGACAAGTAGGTAATAAAAAGACTACCCTACCCTCTAAATTATCTTGGAACAGGTCATTTTTTGTTGCCTCGGGCGATTCACGTGCACGATGGTGTAAAAAATCTAAATAGATGGGAATCAGTGAAAAGGGACTTTTGTAGGCGTTCTTTAAATTGCCTATAGTGGACAGGATATAAGAGATTAGATATGGTTTTTTTGGGAAGTTTCGGCATTTCTACAGAATTTAATGATTTGTAAAGTGGTTTTGGATGTTTTTCTTAAGATATGGAGACTCTAAAAGAACCCTTTGGTTTATTGGCCCCATCACAATATCGTATTTCTACCATAAAAGTGCATTTTTGATCTTACTCAAAATGCAGTTTTGGTTAACATATAAAAACAATCATATTTGTACATTATTAACTCTTTCATATATTAAAATATTTTAACGTTTAATTAGTCGTATTTATACACAGTAGCTTTGGTTTACATACAATTATTTCAGAATTTTTAAGATAATTAGACCAACCTACTTTATATAAAAAAGTAATGAATGTAAATAGGTTCTTTAAAATGCACAATTGCAATAAAATACTTGTCAGGACTTGTTTGTATAATCTCTGGGAAAACATATTTTATACAAAAAGTTATGTAATATGTACTTTGGAGGATGTGTTAATATTATACCAATTAACAAAATTTCTGTACAGGTGACTAAATTAAAGGGTAATGTATTCGATAGTATGAAATTTTTTGTGGTGATAAATTGTAATAAAATCTGATTTTGTCCGAATCCAATTGGATGTCACCGGTTAAGGAATGCTCAGGTAGATTAAAAACACCTACCCTTGTCAATCGTATTTTTACCTGGGCATTGAACAATGCTTTGCAGGTAAGTTTCAAGATTTTTATGCTTTAAGAATTCTTAAACCTGAAAATGTAAAACGAATATTTTTGTTGTAATAAAAAACAGGAAATAGTATTAAATTCATTTTATTTCAAAATAAAAAATATACTTAAATCTAAGGAAGACATCATTACAATTAAAAAACAATTAAAGCTTTTATCACAGCTACAAAACTGTAGCAAATATACAAAAAAATACAATTATAATAAAATATCACAAAGACATCAGTCGAGGAGTTGAGCAAATCAATCACATAATGTTAAATAAAGTATTAAGTGGTCATCACAGGCGAATTGAGGCTTAATGAAATATTTAGGCCTGTGCCCATCTATCAGCGACTTGCATCTCTGGTTTTTGGAAGTTGCAAATTGCATTGGCGTCTCCTTGGGAGTTGATATCGGCATCAGCGTTAACCATTGAGGTCCAGAAAAAGGTACCGGCATCGGTTCTGGCGAAATGTACTGGGATGTATCTTTGACCTTTGAAGACCGGGAGGACATCCATGTTGTCACCATCGTAAACTTGTACACCGGAGAATTCTTCACATGAGTCGATTTCTTCGAAGATTTCGTTCTCGAGGATCTCGTTGGCGAAATTGTCTTCGATTTCGGAATCGTATTCGTCATTGTAGTATGTTGGCTGCGGTGATTTCTTGTAGGTGTTCTTGTTGTTTTTGCGTAAAGCTTGAAGAAGAGCCTTGGTGATCTTCTTGAATTGATACACTGCGGTCTTGGTTTTCTTGTTGTTCATCTTGTTCTCGTTGATGGAGTTGTTTGAAGATACAATGTAATCGTTGAAACTCATTTTGTATTACTGGTAGTTGTTACTTGGTTAAAGCACAGAAGCGAATGATGCTTTTCCAACGACTTGCCAAGCCTTATATACGCACTCCGTGACGTCAGACACCCTAAGGGACATCTAGAGAGTAACCCTCGTCGGCCTATCAGCGCTTAGCTAAGGGACAGGTGTCCGCTCGTGCGAGGCAGGTATACGGCGCGTCGCAAGCGGAAGAAAGACAGCGTATGCGTTCGTATTAACAGGGGAGAATCGTGAGAATTTTGCTTCGATCTCGGTTCCCACACTAGTAAAGGCAGATGGTATACGTAGGGTTGTTTTTCAAAGATTTTGCGTTTATTATAATGCGGAACTCCCCCACATACATAGTGCATGTAGGCTATTTGACCCCTTTCTATTCATGGCTACAGATCTAGAAATGTTATTGTGGCGGTCAGTATCCTTTTTCTACTACACCCTTTTAAAGCAAAGGATTTTTATGATTTGTAGGAATTTTACCTGATATTTGCATAGATATTTATATAATTCCACACCATTGTGATATTGCAAAAATTGCACGTGTTCAAGAAGAGTTATTTAATAATACCTTTACCTCTTTACGCATACCAAAGAATTTATACTCTTTTGATATCTACACAGTGTTATCAAAGAATTTACTCTTTGATACAACATTTGAAATAAACCATTAAGAATTTTAAATATATTTTGAAACTGGGGACAAATTTTTGAATATATTTAATACAATTGACGAATACATTGAAACGAGGAACAATGTCGCGAAAGTAACGAATAAGATAACATTGTATCCTTCTAGAAAATCTCCTAAAATCTATTTAATTGTGTTTCTGTTATTTTAGGATATTGGTACAGTTAAAGATGCATTAGTCTAAAGTATTTATCCCTTTACCTACTTCCAATATAAAACCCTTTAGACCTAATGTACCTCTTTACCAACAAGTGCACTCTAATCTATACATTAACAGTACTATTTTAACTGTCGCCTAACTTATCTAAACCAAATAAATGGTTGTTTTACTTTATGAAGGACTTGTTGATAGATTTACAAAAATAGTTCTTCAAGACATTTAACTGTTATCTTTACTTCTAGACACTTGTTGTAGAAAGCAATATTCCAAACATGTGCAGTGGGTAATAAACGCACTATTTCCTAAAAATAGATCCCCTAAACATTTTGTTAAACAAGTGTACAGTTTGGACCCCTATTTAACTTTTACCATGACAAAATGCAGGCTAATTTTAGTTTAAAGTTAATTTGGGGTGACTTAAACCACATTGTAAAAATATGCATAAATGGAGGGAAATATTTTGATCGTAATGTAAGACAAGTGGTTTAATCATTGTATATTAGTTCACTATTTCATAGTAATTTTCCGTACTATTTGACATTCCTAGGTATTATTGTTAACCCTTTAAGCCCACAAAGGGTTGCATTCCACAGCAAGTGCTATTAATTCGCCTCCCTCATAATAGTTTTTAAATTCAATGCCACCACTTTGGTGAGCTTCTATAATAGGGGTTAGATTTCGATCGCCAAAACCCTTTAACGCACCGCAAATTCGAACAATATAAAATCCACGTGAAAGGGTGAATGCGCCCTTATTATTAACAATGAAGATGTGTGTTCAACACGATTCTAAAGTTGTTAAACAGTAGATGGCAAAAAAATAAGGGTGAGGGTAAGATTCTGGATCAGTTTTTTTGTAGGAAAAAAATTGGGTCGATGGTTCTTAATATTTTAAAGGTCTTTAGATGACAAATACTAAAGTAGTATTGCACGAAAAACGTTATGTTTTTCACAATTTTTATCTTATTTGGGAATAAAATTTAAAATTATAATAAATTAATAATTTATTTAATTAAAAATATTGTATTGGTTTGAAACTTTGGGCCTTTTACTCAACTTTTAAAAGCAACATTTTAAAAGATTTATAAGAATGAAATAATAAGATTTGTATGTTTAGTTTTAATTTTTATCATCGTTATTTGAAATTTACTATAATATAGGTTTTGTTTATTTGAATAATGATTTTTTAAAATTTGTCACATTTTTTTGTTGTAATTATGTATTGTTATTTAAATATTTATATATTTCCATTCTTAAATTATTTTAATAATAATTTTGTATAATTAGTCGAATTTTTAATTTGTCAGTTTTTTTGCTCTTGTTGTATATATTTATTTAAATGTTTACTTTTTAAAACTTTAAATAATTAAAATGTGTTTTTTTATATTTTGTGTTTTATATTGATTTGAAAATGTATGTTCCTGATATACCTATTAAAGAAAAGTTTTTTATGTTAATAATTGTATTTTAATACATTATTTTTGTTCATAATTTCAAATTTATTTACGATATTCTTTAATCTTAATTTTTTTAAAAATTTTTCTATTAAGTTTCATGATTTTATTAATAATTTTTATTTTTACGGAATTATTGTAATTTATACCAATGTAATAAAAAAATATCAAATGAATCTCACAAAAGCATAAAATTACAATCAAAGGGTGCCATAAAACATCTAGTAGTTGTAATAACTCATCAAGGCCTTCTAATTAAACGATACCCTGCGCTAGCGGATACAAAAGTCGCTTTTATAGTAACAAATTACAGTCGCCGTAGTAACAAAACAAAGCTCGGAGTAGAATTAATGATTATTCAATGATTGCCGTACAGAACGCACGTTTTTTTTATTCATCTTCAGTCGCTTACATTTAAATCTCGAGGAGCAGGTGCAGGCCATTTAAAAATGTCTTCCCATATACGGTTCGGGTTTTTTTAGCTTTTATTATCTCAACTATAATCACCACTCTTTCTTATAGGAGTCTTATAGGAATACATTAAAGTTATTGTTCGTGCTTTAATTTATTCTAGGGGATTTTTAGAGCATCGTAAAAGTTTTAGATTGGATTTTTGTGTGCTGCGTTTGTGGGTTTTGGACGTTCTAATGGGATTTTATCTTAATAGAACTGAAGATTTATTATTTGGTAGATTTACTTTATTGAAAATAAAATTACAAAAATCAAAATCTACCAATAAAATAAAAAATGATTGAAAATATTACAATTAAAAATGACTTTCCAAATTTGATTAAAATTTGTACTGGTTAATCACTGATTAATAATCAGTATTCCAAAAGTCAAAATGCAATTTCTGAAAAGCGATTCAAAAATTAAAAATATTGAATTTCAGATATTTTCTTTTAAAATTTTATTTTATTTAAATAGATATTTCTATATTTTCTTAAAACTAAATTAAATTTTTAATTTAAAGGTATAAACTTTAATTGCCATGGGGAGTAAAATTGAAGTAAAAAGCTTGAAAATATTAACTCAATTCTTAGATGAAAAAATAAATTGAAAAGTAAAATTTTTGGGTTCAAAAAATGTTACGCGATAAGGTAAGGATAATAAAACTTCAATATACATATTAAAGGAATTATTGAATCAAATGTTAGCTATAGGTCAAGTTTTTTTTTAATAAACTTTTTCCCCACAAATTTGTTATTGTATGAAGTGAAGCTTCTTTAGCGAGGTGCAAGTTCGAAAAATTGAAGGTTGTAAGGTTACAATGTAAACGGTTTTAAGTATCAGGAGAGCATGAAGTGGCAGATGCAACTATAACGCTGTCAGTTATTTTAATACCAACTATACCGCGGAATAAATACCGAAGATACCTTATTAAAGTGGCTTTGAATAAGTAAGAGAAAGATGGAAATAAATCAATCCAATATGGCGGCGCGCCGTATGCCCATTTTTTACAACCTATTTAACCCATTAAATGAAAGGGTTTGACAAGTAGAACACTATAAGGTTGGTGATAGTTTTCAAAGTTTCCAAAATTTTAAAAAATTACTTAATTTTTTTTACTCAAAATTTTTAAAATTTTAAAAGTTTTTAATTTTAACAGAATATCCAAAAATTTTAAACTTTCCAAAATTTCCAATGACTACAAAATTTACAAAAGCTTCAAAATCATTAAAATAAACAAAATTTAAATATTTTTCAAAATCACAAACAGTTATAACAATAATAATATTAAAAATAATAATAATGGGCCTTTATTTTCCAATTAGTACATACAAGATATTTATAATTATAAAAACATAAATGAAAAAATCCTAGATGTTCATATCTAAATAAAAATAGATCAGTATCGAGCACAAAAGTATACTCTTACTAGTTATTAAGACGAGTCTTGAACTAGTGACTCACTAGTATTGAGTAACTAACTAATTAGTAAATAGTCAGTAACTCGTAAGTAGGTAACGACTCTAATCAATGATTAGTAATCATTACTCTATAAATCGATACCCACCATCAATGTTGTGCTTATGTGAGGCACATTGCTTTTTTAAATTTTGTGTTGTCAAAAAACGAAATTTGTTTTTATTTACATATGGTATACTAGCAAAATATATACAATTAAATAATTTCTATCCACCCCACCTAGATTAATAGATAATAGACATACAAATTATGTTAAATATCCCTTAACATATTAGTCAAAACACATATTTTTCGTTGTCTTAAAAGTAAATATCATCCCAATTACAGAACTTTTATGCTGTTTTTTCTTATAAGTTTTATATATAACTTAATGGTTTACTAAAATAATTACATTTTACTGGTTCATCCAGAATCAGCCCCTAAGATTCGAGTTAAGTAATATTTCAACTAAAATAGTAAAAATACCTCTTTGCCACCGTGAATACTCCACTAATGGCTGTAGACAATAATATTTTCAGGGGATTAAAAATAATATTGTTCTTAAATATGACACCAATAGTCCCTAATCCTTTCGTTATCGGTAAATATTGTGCCATTACTTTGAAATATAACTCCTTTAATCCATAGAATTCGGCATTTTAATAATCCCGCAAATCTACACCCTTTACAAGCATGCTCTTATTTTTTGTACAAAAAACTGTCAAAGGATTATTTAGTACAATATTTTATAAAATTCGAAACCCTTAATCCGCCCTAATAGCTCTTTTATCGGTAAATATTTTTGATATCTAAAACCATACAAATCGGCAATACATTACTGCAAATCTACTTGAAAAGTAATTCGAACAAAACCTCAGGAAGGGTGCTTCTAATTTTTTATCCTTTCAAGAAA